CCAGTTCTGGACTCCCTCGTTCAGGGAACTACTTGAAAGAGTCCAGTGGAGGGCTATGAAGACGATCAGGAGACTAGAACATCTCTCTTATGAGGAAATGTTGAGGGTCTTGGGTCTTTTCAGTCTGGAGAAGAGAAGGCTGAGGGGGGATCTGTTCAATGACTATAAATACTTAAAGGGGGGGGGTCAAGAGAATGGGCCCAGTCTTTTTTCAGTGGTGCCCAGGGACGGGACAATAGGTAACAGGCACAAACTAGAACATAGGAAGCTCCATCTAAATATGAGGAGGAAATTCTTTACTTTGAGGGTGGCAGACCACTGGAACAGGCTGCCCAGAGAGGTGGTGGAGTCTCCATCTCTGGAGACATTCCACACCCGCCTGGACATGTTCCTGTGCGACCTGATCTGGCAGAGGGGTTGGACTAGATGATCTCCAAAGGTCCCTTCCAACCCCATATCATTCTGTGATTCTGTGAAGTAGTTTGTGGAAGCTACTTCCCACCAGCAAAGAAGATACCATGGAACCTAAAATATGGTCATATATGGATCCTGCTGTTTGCTGGAAGACCGATACTGGGCTGATAAAGGTTTTTCTTGTGGGTTTTCAGAGAGATTTGAAAGAGAAATAATAAACCCACCTTATTTCACATTATATAGAAGATGTGACAATTTTTTTAATAATCACTCCACAACTTAATCATTTCTTGGAGAGATTTACAAATCCAATTTGTATTGCATTAAACAATGCAAATGTGATGGTCTAAGAGTCTTTTTAATGAATCAAATGTGCTCATTTATGTTCAAATCATAACAAAGAGAGAAAAAAAACAAAACAGAAAGAGAGCACCTTGTCTTTGCCTAAAGAAAATTCTTCACAGTGAAGTGCTGAACAAAGGTCTTCAAACTTCCTGGGGGGACCCTTGACTTCCAGAGGCTTTCTGATATCTCCTGTACTTCATTGAAGGAAAGAGCTTAAATTTAAAGGTGCAGACTGCTCTCTTGTTATTAGAATCTCTTTGTTCACCAATGTCAGTATTTAGAAAACTGCAGCAACAAAACAGCTAAGATCTTCATTCCTTTGTCTTAAGTTCGGACACTTTCGTAAAAATAAGTGGTAAGTAAACACATACAGTTTAAATAGTCCTTTTAAAAAATCAGTATTTTAAATGAGCTGGTTTTATTTCTGTATCCCTTGTGACATTCTGAACACACCAGTCAAATAATCATTGGAAACTGTCTTTATTTATTATTATGTGTGGGACTGATAGCAGATATCCCCCCCCTCCCTTTTTTTCTTTTTGATTGCTTTAAAGAGTCGCATGTTGAAATGTTGACATGCAGGATTTTCATTCAGTAGCTGAGCTGTGTCCACTCTCTGGCTGAGCAGCATAAAAATTCTGTGGTTCAGTTGTTCCTTCATAGAAGATTTATCTGACAAATATTTTCCTAAAGCGGCATTCCGTCAGCGGTGCCACTCTCTCAGGTGGCATTTCATCAGCAAGTGTCACTATCAGAAGAAGGAATAAGACCCTGTCCTTCCACTGAAACATGAGCAAAACAGTGGATGAAATGACCTGGAAGAAAATACTCCCCAGCACAACAGAGGACTGTATACAGAGGCATCAGCCAGTGCCTCAGTATAGTTAATACTGTATTAAGCAGAGTGACAACTATATTCAGTACTGATTTTGACAGAATAAGCTGGACTTCTATCACATGGAAGTCTGGGGCCAAACCTAATATTCTGTATTTGGTATTTTTGGAATTCCTGTTTGTGTGCTATGGAGGAAAGTGCAGACAGTTTTCCAGTAAGTTATTATTGCTCATCAGTTTTTATTCCTGATGAATGAGGATGCTTCAGACCATAAATCTTCCACTGGTCCAGGCTAACTGTTGCCTCTCCTGGGCTTCCAGCCAGCATAATTTTGTAGGGAGGAATTACACAACTTGATGAGAAAGAAGTAAATAGTCCTCTGTTAGCAGCTATTTGAAATAGCAGCTGTTTAATGCTATTCAGCGATGGGGGATATTAGCAATATTACTGGGCAAACTGTAGGTGGTGTACCATATGTATATATTGCCACACGCTGGGTTGTATTTGTCTGATGTGAAACTTTCATTTACTAGCAAATGTGATGGTGATATTTATAGTGGTCACTGCTGAAGTACTTGAACAGATTCTGGTAACCTATCACCGTGTAGTATGGATAGGGAGCATGGATAAGGAGATGAGTGTCTAGTCTGTCATATTTGGTACTCTCCAGGCCCACAGCAGTGTCCCTTTTTCCTACTAGCAATAATAAGTAATGGTTGTGATGCTAAAATATAGAGAACAGACTATGTTTATCTGCCTGCACCCACACACAGGTGTGGGGCATGATGGGGTTGGTGGCAAGCTAAGGGTCTAATATCAACTGAAAGTGGCATAAACGTGTATTTGCAGGTTTCATCTGGACACTGAGCAGTGGTAGGACTCCACTAAAAGAGTTGCTGCAATTTATCCTTTCTGATATCTTTTTATCCTCGTATTTATGTCAGAGACATTAAAATAAGAGCCCTCCCTAACTTGTTGCCACTTTGTCCCCAGGTCACACTAGTGCGAGCTGTGGTATATAGTGGGCTCTGATCCAGGGAACTCTAAGGACCATAGAAACTCCTTTATTTAGAAAGCTTGGTTCTCTCCTTTCCCCAGGGATTATAAGGGGTTTTTTTATTAGTCTTGAGTAGATGTGTGATGAGATGTTAAAATGTCAACACCTTGATTTATAGAAAATATCCTCGGTTATTTTAAAGATTTTTTTAAAAAAATTGTTAGAACTAACTTTTCTGTCCCTTTAGGGCTTTTGCATACTAGTTAAGTTATCTTTACCAGTGAAGGAATATATAAAGAGAGCAATAACAAATTTTACGAGCGTTGAAAAGAGAAAGGAAAACAAGAGAGGATTTTTTCTCTAGAATGTATTGCAGACAAAAAATTTGTATGATATTAAATTTTTATTGGCTCTCTCTTGGGATGAACTGTATACATTTCCATTGATAATTAATGCAACCTTGCCAAACAATATAATATGCTAAGAATGTATAAGACATAAGAATATATAAACAAGTTAAGTAGATCATCTCTTATGATTTTCTAAGCTAATTTAGTTCTTATATCAAAGGTAGTAGTGGTTGGGGTCATCCTAAATTTGATTCTTTGACATTTTGAACTTGTAGAAATAGCCATTTTAATTTTTCTTTGTATGAAATGAATGCATTTAAAAAAAAATAGGCATGCATTCTTGGCCTCAGTCTCCTGAATTTTCTTTTGCTTGGGAGATAGTACATATTTTATTAAAACAACAGCATTTCCAATAAACAAAGCATTTTTCCTAGCACCTGCTTAAAAGAGTAATGAGAGAAGTATAGAAATTTAATAATGACATGAACATTTTTCTTGGCTACAGAAGGTAGTGTGAAGCCTACCCTTTCAGATCAGAAATTATTTTTGGCCTCTGGAAACTTGGACCATCTCCTCTTAGACCAGTATGCAGCTGCTGGGCTAACCTGGCTCTTCCAGGAGCGCTGCCCGTTCTCTGCCTGCTCGTCACTAAAGCATTTACCCTGGCTGCTCACCTGCCTGCGTGGGAGCCAGCCAAGCCCCAACACTTTCCTGACCTGCCCGAGCAGCCATCTGGAAGGGGGCAGATGCCATTATTCAGAAGTACTTTGGTAGATGGGTCTGGGGGCATTAAAAGCTCCCATCAGAAGCACAGACCATGCCGTGTGGTTGGTAAAGCACCTGTCCTTGAAGCAAATGCTGCTGCCTCTTTTCTCAGGCAGCGAGCATATGGTCTGTATGACAAGCGGAGAGAAATACAGTGCCTTGGGGTGGGATGGTGCCACGGCCATTTTTCAACTGGTCCCAAAAGACAGGCAGCACTTTGAGTAATGGGGATGCTCTCCTCTCTGCTTCTAGCCCTGCACAGAGGGAGATGTCTTCCCATCTCCAGGCAGTGTCTTACATTGGCAAGTATTTCACAAAGAGAGGGGGAAAAAAGGAAATTTATAAGGAAGACAAAAAGTCAAAGCAAATGCAGTATGTGGGAGGAGAATTGTCAGTCCCACATCTTAAAGTAAATACTGGGGAAAAAGCTGGTCCTTCCTGTACAGCCCTGACTTCCGTCTTGGAGCATAAGGTGGAGTGGGAAATTCAGTCTCCACCTCTGGAGATGCTCCACCTCTGGGTATGTCTGCTAAGGGTGACGGTGATGACGGTTGGTAACTGGATGCTGTTCTGACACTGCCAAATCCTTTTGCACAGGTCACCATCTGCTTGGTGGTGAAAGGCAGTTGGAAGGCTCTGTGTAGCACATTAACAAATTCTTTTGCTGTCCAGACCTCTAAAGTATTTTTAAAGCCTTGTTTTAAAGCTAAAGTATTATTTATTTTTTTTGGTTGGTCTTTTCTGCTTCACAGGCCACTTCTTGTTTCTTGTCTGATGGTAATGATTTAACTGTAAGTACAAGTGACAGCCCAGCGAAATGGTGATGGCTGGGGTCATGCAGGGTGTGGCATTTGTAGGAGAGATGAGATTTGTTCCTGAGAAGCCCTCATGAAGTTGGCTTTCAAATATTTACCAACTACCTGTCTCAAAGGCAACAGCAGGATTTGGCCCTGTCTTGTTATAGTGAGCAATGGGATGTAAATGCACTATTTCAGTGGAATTATTAACTGATAGTGGTGCAACAAAAACACCGTTTGCCCTAAATGTTATGGAGAGATGACAACTAACATACTGAACAGATCTGTTTCTTGGGGATCTCTCAGGCAGGGGAAGTAGCCAATCTGTCCGTGCTGCTTTGGACCATCTGAGCTTCCCTGAAGAATTTAAATTTCCATCTAAGTTGCATTCAGTTTCTATTCATATTGGCTTAGAATATGTTGAACTTTTTTTTTTTTTTTTTTCTTTTTTCTGCAGTAATAGTAAAAATCTGTTTTTCTTCCCTAACTATGTGCAGGCTGGCATGGCTTTGACTTACGATCCAACAGCTGCTATACAGAATGGGTAAGGAATGCATGTTTTCTTATGCCTTTTTAAAAATTATTTTGAATGCCATCTTCTGTTTTCTCTCTCTGTGGTGAAACTTATTCAGAAGCAAATTCACTCAGTCGTATTTTGACTGAAGCATGTAATGCTGTATTGTCAAGTTTTTCTTTTAGTTTCCCTTTTGTTTTTATGCCCTCTTGTTTGTAATATCCATTTGAATGGGAAGTTGTTTTTCCTAATAGTTTCCATCTCTATTTGGCAAATGCTAGTGGATGTTTTTTTAATCTCTCACTGTCATGAAATGGAAACCAGTAAAATTTCCCGTTACTGACTTTGCTTTTGTTAAAATAATCACTGAAGATTCCAGCATATTTTGGATAATAGAGCTCTTACTTCATCTGGGGTTCTCTGTACAGGCTGGCTGGCTTCCATAGCATTGTCTGACTAGAAATGCCAAACAGGGAGAAAGCCTTAAATTAGAGTGTAAGCAGATGGGATTTAGGGGTAAAATTCTGAGCAACACACTTCTTCGTTTCTCAGCTATGTTTTGCTGACACAAAGAATTGCAACTTCTTTTCTAATTTAACAGGGGAGTTACATCATCACGTTATTTACCTGTATGATTACATTTCCAATTAATTCATGAGCTGGAAAAAAAGCCTTAAAATCTATCTATCCTTTTAGGTAGGTTAACAATAAGCAGGAGGTTTGGCCCTGAACTCTTTCACAGTCACTCTCTGATCAGAGACATGTTTGATATGATTATCAAATTCATGCACACTCCCATCTGTGTTCTCCAGCTGAAGGGGAGACTGTATGGATATAGATGAGAATGGATTTGTTTATTAAGTATTTGTTAGGGCATTGCTAGTTGAAGCAATTATTGAAAAAACTAACATTCCCAGTAGTTTAAAAAAAAAAACAAAACAACACAATGATACAGTGTATTTTGCTTAATTGCCCTTTACAAGCAGTAGCTATGTAGGACTTGTGATATTCCCATGTTATGGAGGAAGCTGCCAAACCAGAGCAACCCAGAAAAAAAGGAGGGGTTTGCATAGTTGTGATTTCAGAATTCTCTGGTTCTGTTTCCGTGTTCTGACCTCCCAAACAAGTCTTTCTTCTCTATCATCATACTTTTCAGCGGGTAATACATTATAGGCTATAAATAAAATCATCACTAGTTCATAGTCCACCAGTGTTTCATCCAGACAACTGGCTTTTATTTCAAAGGAATTCCTGCATGTCAGTTTTGCAAATGTTTTGGAAACTGTAATTCGAATGATCCTTTGAGATTAATATCATTTTACTTCAAGAATAATTTTTTTTTGAAATTATGAAAGTTATCTCAGACTTGTATCAGAGAGTACCCATACTGCTCAGGTGTTCAGGCTGCTCGGGTGGTTTGGTCACTCAATTGTTTGAAAACGCTGTCAGTGATCACTGGGAAAAGAAAAAGTACCCAACAGAGAATTTCAACTCTACAGTTTTTAAAATATTCTTTTATTTGTAAAGCGTGAAATAAACTACAGCACTGGATATCCCTCTAAGAGTGACAATTAATTACTGCTTTGACATATCTCTTCTTTCTAGAGTGTCAGAATATTTTAAATTTCATCATGACAAAGCTATCTCATTCAAAATGCTCTTACGGTGAGATCTTGACTGCATGCAGTATCATGAAGAGAAGCTCTTACTATGCAGGAAAATCAATTTGTCCACCAAAAGTTACACAACTGCTGTTCCATCCCCTGGTTGCATCTTTAAAATGCTGTCACCTGAGCCTCACCAGGACCATTTGGTTACACAGTGTCTTTTTAGCTCTCTAGGCATTCACTTAATAGTCTCTACATATCCTGTAGTTATAAATATTTAGTACTTTTCATAAGCCTCTTTACTTGCAACTACAATAAAAATCTAGCTCATGGGTTTTATTTTAGCTAAGTCCGGGAGCACCTTGATGCTTTGCTTGTAAAATGTGCAAATGCGATTTGTGGCTCACTGACAGAAGACAGGGATACTATAGCAGGTGTGTGAGAGAGGGTTAAGGGCTCTTAAGCACTATGAAGTAAACCAGGTTCAGTAAAATCATCAGTGAAGGGCAGTGGGAAAACACATTGCTCTTCCCCACAGTGAGGACAGTCTGGAAGTGAGCACAAAGCTGCTGCTTCAGCCCCCTTGTGTTGATGGTGGGCCCATACCCACCCTGTGGATAAAATGCTGCGTAATGCTTTGGCTGTACAGTGGACCAAGCGTGGAGCAATGTTACCCAAAGGTTCTGTAAAACAAAGGCTGCTTCCTTGTGACCAGCTGGTTCCATGCAGTGGTCAGGTTAAGCGAGCGTTGACCCAGCACACATCTCAGGACTTGTTGATTTGTGGTGACAAGCATGAGTGGCTCAGTTTTTTGGGTCCCTACCAGCATGGAGCTTAGCGAGCTGAGGCTGGAGATGGGAAGCATAAAGGTGAAGACTTGGGTTAGGTATGAATTACCAGTGAAACCTAAAAAGAAAGATCGACTGCACATGCTGATGTCTATTAGAATCCTTACAGGGTTGCGTTTTGATGCATGCGAGTCGCTAGGTCCATGCCGGATTATCTGGATGATAGAAGCCTACTGGAGAGACATGTCTGTGCAGGTGTCACAGGGCAGTATTTAAAATTTGCAATTCCTTAAGAGTCATGGCTTATATTAGGGTTTGGGTTGGGGTGTAATCAAACAGCAGGGAAGAATCTGGACTCTTATTTGTTATCCAGATGAAAAGGCAGGTTCTCATTGCTCGTGGAGTAGTACTAGCACTTTTATTACTGTATAACTGCGTATTTGCCTTGAAAATCTATAGCAGGAATAAAACAAAAGAGAGTGAGAAAGAGGCTTTCACTAAAAATAGCTAAGACTTTTTCCCCACAAAGGAATAGATAATTTTCTTCTGAGTCTATTATGTTGTAAAGCTTGATTCTCCATTTCATTATATTGTTTTTATGCCCATGTAACTCTGTTTAAGCATCCAATGGAGTTACATCAGCGTAAAACTGGTATAATGGAGTGGAGAATCCGGCCCATAGTGTACCATAGCATTGCAGTATGAGTTACTCAAGACGTGGTAACCACACACTTCAGTAGATAAACTCTTTTCCCCTGCCAATCTCTCTGTGCCTTTTCTGTTTTATAATCAGCCTTTTCTGAATTACATTTACAAAGGTGCTCAGGTTTTATTTTGGGGAGTAGTGTGCCTGTTGTAATATGCTATTGATTTTTCAATTTGTGGTATTAATATTGTTTTAGTGGTTTAATGCACTCATACAAAGAACAAAATAGAACTCTTGTACTTGCAGTGTAAGGGTGCTCATTTAAAATGTTCTTGAGGCTTGAGTCCTCCTGGCCATTTGACTAAGATTGCCATGTACTGTATCAGTTTAATATCTGATATCTAGGGGACTATACTGCACATTTACTGGCCAATGGGCTCAATATTCAGATAGGTCTTTTTCATCTCAAACATCTGACTGTGTGGCTTATTGCAACAGAAAATTGCTGCCTTGATAACGCTTGGTAATACTCTTACATTATGTGAGCCCCAGGATACTATTTATGAATCTAACTTTTTCAGTACTGCCCGCAGGCATGAGGCATGAGCAAATGGTGTTTATTGCAGTGCAAATAGGATCTTGCTCTTGTGCAGATTCTGTGTGGAAGCTTGCACATTCCCCCATAGGATGGGAACCATATGGAATTTTTTTTTCTCTTTTTTGGCAGGGAAATAGCGACCAGACGCTACAGATAATGCAGTCCCCAAATGCAGAGGGGGGTTGATGTAGGAGGGGGGGGAGTATGTGCTTTGTCTGTTAAGCAACAGAAACTGTTCTTAGAGCATTGCCTGTGTTTGCATGATGAAGTGCTGGGAACATAGTTCTTTTTAACATCTCTTAAAAACATTTTCTTTTGAGTCCTTTATAAACCCCTCTTGAGGAGCATCCAGGAACATCTTTTTGCCTCCTAGTGATGAGTTTTCCCTGTGCTTGTGGGTCTACTTTTAATACAAGGGCCATGTCCCTTTTGCCTCACCCCTACCACCTGCTTTTCTACACTTTTGCTTCTAGCATTTCAATTGCAGCTGAGGAGCAGGGACACTGGCTCATACCTGCCAAAAACTGCACAGCCCTATATAAAGATGCAAACTGCATTTACGGAAAATGCGCTGAGGTTTTTGGAGAGCTCTCCTTAGAACCCACAGGTCAACTGCCACAAAGCCTACAGCTCTCAAGGTACCATACCAAACATTTTAATGCTAAGAAACTTGAGGGCATAATTGAATATATCTAAAATGAGTCAAAATCAGTATAATTCATATCTCTTTCCATTCCTCTTTCTGATGTACACATTCTGATGACTGAGAATCCTGTATTCACTTGGACTGACTTACAACATGCATCTTCTACCTCATTTCACTTCTCCCTGAGCCAAAAGGGGGGTGAGGGGTAAGCCTAAGATCAAATATGGCAAGGTCAGCAGCTGCAGATCTAGTTGGGATGCTGTAGGGTTTACACCAGCACAGGCCACTCTTACATTTTTGCTCCTCCTGTCTTTTATTAGGTCCCCAGCATGTCACTTACATATTAGGACATTAGCCTATTTGTATGTAAAGAAAATTTGGGGAGATGCCTCTGTGTTCTACAGGTGAGAGCATATTAGGGCAGTGCACAGCTCCAGGTCTGTGGCAGGTTGAGCATCCCATGCCTGGGGAGTGGGGGGGTCCACTTGAGTCAGTCCCCAGCAAGGACATCCACATCCTCACCATGGCACTCTAACTGTGGGCACAAGTGCCTTTATCTCTAGGTGTAAAGGATTCCTGATTGCAAAATATTCGACCTACAGTCTATCGCAGTGACTGAGATTTTTCAACTTGATTTAGTATTATTAAAATTGAAATATATGAACTGGATTTTCTCACATTGTCATTTGCTGTGTCAGATTTCTTTCCTTTTTCTTCTTTGAAGCTCTGGTGCATGAATTTTCACAATATAGCTGTGTCCTGATAGTATGGTTTATTTGATGCTTAGTTGAGAGCATTCCAAACTGCGACAGATAAATGGTATTGGCAGGGGTGTTTGAAGGGCTGTATTTTTCACATTACCAGAGTGTATATTCTTCAAGCTTATGTACTATTCAGATAACTGCATCTCTAAGCTGAAACTGAAATGGTTAGCTGTCTGTCAAGTTCTTGGCTTAGCACACGTTTTCTGTGCATTTGGTAGCATTTGCTGGGATTTATTGGAGAGTTTATTCCAAAGAGTCAGCACTACTTCTGAATGGGAAGTTGTTTGTCCCCTGCACTTGTCTTTGTCCGAGCAGTTCATATGCAATATGAGTGCAGCATCAGTGCCAGGCTGATGGACAGAATGAGAACAGAATGAACAAAAATATGTTATTTTCTCAAGAGAGTTTTGTTTTTATACTGTCCTTCAGTTCAAGAGGCTTATAAGTGTTGCTGTTACACATTTTACCTATAAAGTGAATTCTATCAGTCTGCCATTGGCTGTTTTCATTTGCCACATGCAGCATTTCTTAGTTCCTCCACTTAGCAACAGCATAGCCAAAGTGATTTCTGGTTAACCTTGATCTGGGAGAAGACCCCTGTAACAGGACTTAGATAACATATGTATGCATCATGCTAATGCCATAGATAAACCTGGCTAGTGCTGTAAAAATGTTTTCCCCATGCAATGTTGTATGAACTTAATGTTTGATACAAGCAGTGGGATACAAATGCCTCTAAGTTCTCATAATAGGATATATATAAAATTGGGCAAAGACACAGTTTTAAAATAGTCTCTGTGTGAGCATTGTAAGGGCAGATAAATGTTCCTAAAATAGCAATATATTTCTATTAAACAAAAAATCACTCAGACGCCACCTGCTGCTTTTGGCATTTAAAAATCTTATTTGGAATAGGGAGAACAAATGATTGCTTCTCTATCTCTCTCTCCCCTCCTAACTTCAATGTTTCCACCCAACCTTCAAAGACAGCAGCCTGTTTTTCCAAGGCTATTGGTTGGATGAAGTCAGTGGTTATTTGAGCCTGCATCCAGAATGAATGCATCCAGTCTGAACTAGACTGATTAGCACTAAATCCAGGATGCCAGGGTGATCAGGAAATAGAGCACTTGTTTAAACACCAGTAATGATTTTTTTTTGTTGTTGCATGGCTCTCATGGAAAGCTACTGTTGATTGCCTCAGCATGGGGAGAAAAAAAACATAAAAAGGCAGAGAGTGTAATCCCCTTCACTGTTACAGAGAAAGCATATGTGCAAAATCTTCTGCTACTCTAAGATTGGTGCACACCATATAAGAAGGATCTGCGTGGGGCTTAAATCAGACAAGAGAGTACTGCACAGGAGTGTTTCTCTCAGAATCCAAAATATCAGCATTTTGACAGCTGTGAGACCACAAACATTCTTTTTTTAAGCATTTTTATTTTTTGGCTCACAGTCAAAACTGAAAAAAGGGCAAATGCAAAAATCTTTAGAAGCACACACATATTAAATACTTAAACAATCCACCAGTAGTGATATTTTCCCAGTGATAATTTTATCAATAATCATTAACCCATGGGGAAGAAGAAATATAATATTTATTACCATCAGGCAAGTGGTATTGCAACTTTTCTTCATAGCATGCAATAGTGGAAATGCCAACAACAAAATCTGAGGTTCTCACTGATGCATGGGGCATTTGGACTCATAATTCGTGATATATTTCACCAGAAGGTGGGGTTTTTGCTCTCTACCTAGAAGAATATGATAGTTGCAGTCAGAGTTTTTGTGGACATCTTTAAATAAAATAATTCAGGCATGTATAAGGAATGTGTTATTCTCAGCACTGAAGCATTAAGATCTGAGAAGAAAACAGTACTGCATGTAAAAATGAAATCAGTAATATTGTCCTCGATATCGCATAAGAAATTTCCTTCCACTAGCTAGCACTCTGGAAAATCAGCTGTCTTTGCATTTCAGATAATTACTTCTTGTATCATGAAGTTCTATATTTGTGCTAGTTGAAGTGAAAAAAATATGCTTTGTGTAAATATTCCTCCTCCTTTCCATTTTCAAGGTCTGTTCAGTGGAGCCATCACATCTTTTTTATTGTGGTTTTGGAAATAGATGGACATAATTACCTGTGTAGACTCGTTTTGTCTTTGCCCAGGAGGCAGTGAATTAGTCAGTCAGAGCCTAACAGCTGAAAGGTTCAAAAAATCTTGCTTTTGTTCTTTGTTTGCAGATTTTATTCCTCACCGTACAGTATTCCAACAAACCGCATGATTCCACAGACATCAATCACGCCATTCATTGCTGCTTCCCCTGTCTCTACATATCAGGTACGTCAGATTTGTGCTTGTCTACTATGTTTCCCAGTTAATTATGTTTTGGATGTGGATGAAGGCAGAGTGTAAACCACAGAAAATTGTGTGAGTGCTTGCGCTCTTGAGTCACACTTTAAACAAAAGGCTTTCTAGTAGTAGTCAGGTATCGTTTGGAGTACATTTTTAAGTGTTTCCTGCATTCCTTATAGTAGCGATGAAAGCCACACTAATTTTTTCTTATTTCAATCAGCTTCCCTAGTAAACAGCATTTTGCTTCATTTCCACTTGACAACAGCAGAAGTTTGTCATTCTTATTGAAATGTTTTGTCATTTTGGCTCCCTTTCATTAGCCAGAAGATTCTTTAAATGCATTTTTTTTTTATAATTTATGTTGATTGCATCGTATTTTGACCTTTTGACCTCAGCTGTATTTGCTCCAGTAACAGCATCCTTTAAAAGCACTCATTTTTATCCAGTAATCCCTGACAAAGCAAGTTACTTGAGGATAACTGTCCTCGTATCCTTCTTTAGTCTCCCACACATTTTGTCGTTGAGAATTTCTCTTTTCAACATATCCCTCACAGATCTCCACTGGGAAATTATTACCATGCTCTGGCTTTCTGAGATGGAAGTCAAAACCAGGTTGTATAGTTTATTATTAGCCATTTTCTGGGAACATGTCACTTCACTCTGAAGCTGGTCATTGACTATACATTTTCGCACTTCAATTATTTCTGTCCTATAGTATCAGTGCTCTTCCCATCCTGAGTCCTACCTGAGATAAACTACCCAAACTTGCAAAGCTGTATGATGGGTTGTTCTTAATGTTAGACTTGGTTGGTTTGGCTGGTTTTCTGGGGGATGGTATTCTACTACTTACAGGTAATTCTGGCAGTTTGAGCTTACTGTGTGTTTTAAACTTGATCGTCAAAGATAAATGATTCTTGTAATTTTGTTTGACTTTTGTGCTATTTAATTTTAGATGGCGATATAAAATTTGCCAAAACAATTTGTTTTGGTGAGATAAGTTCAGTAAATTTCAGTAAATGGCAACACCAAAGAAACGTGCCAGAGACACACGAGTGCAGCTCACGTGCACTTTTCTCAGTAGCAAAGCTGGCTTAAGAGTCATACCTCCTCCCTCTTATTCAACCCACTGAATTCAGGCCACCCAGACACTTATTCACTGCTCTGCAGGTCATAGTTGCTCCCTTTTCCCATCCTGTCTTGAACCATTGCATCAGTTCGTGGTTTGATGCATTTTGCACCAAAAACATCAATTTTTTTTTTTTAGCCTGTATTGTTCTCTGTAGATCATTTTCAGCATAAGTCCAAAGGCATTTACCCTGGCACAAGGAACTGCACAAGGGTGCAAGAATGGGAGCAATGAGCAGCAGCAAACTGTGGCAGCTCTAATATATTTTAACTAGTGGGGATTCACAACAGAAAATTGTAGTAGGGCTGTGTTTGCACGTGCATGCGCTGGTTTAGGTTCTAAGGATGTTTTACTGAACTTGCTTTTCAACAAAAAAAATCTACTTTGATAAACTTCAACAAGTGTTGAGGCAGACAATTATGCAATTAATTCTCACTACTTGCTTCAAAAACGCGGGGCATCTGGAGAATCGGGACCTTATGGTTTTCTCCTAGCCATCCCTGCTCATGCTCATTCTGAGATGCCCCATGCCCATCTCTGAGCCTGGGGGTAGCTAGTGAGTTACCCGCTTATGGCTGTAGCACAGCTATATTTTTGCATACTTCTTGTGTGTTTTGGTGCTCAGACTGATGAAACCACAGTTCTTGGGATTGAGTTTGAGTTATGATAGCATGTTGGCCATTCACTCTTTGTACAAGAAGATACAGCTCAGAGATGCACAAGAATTCTGTAATGCATTTAATTATTGGTAAAACTGGTATCTCCATGGAATCTGTTGCATGCTAGTCATCAGGTAGAACAACAAAGAAGGACTTGGTGAGGCATATAGACTTCTGGTGGGAACAGATCCCATGATGCTCATGGTAAGAGCTGATCCTGGGGGTCAGGGACATCTTAAGCCAGCTTTGCCATGGAAACTTTCAGTTAGAATAAGCTTCAAAAACTCTGAATTAGATCTGCAGTTTTTAGTGAAAACAGAATAAATCATTCTGGGATCTCTGAAAATGTTATATCTTTGAACGTTCATACAGGTACTTTTCAAAATAAACTTTGAACATTTTATGTCTCCTGCACTGTCAGTTGGGTGACATGTTCATTATTATATTGATGGATGAAAGCAAACAATACAAATGAAAAAACAGGACAACATGGAATATTGAAGACTGCTTTATGAGATAAAACAGTGCGGATCATACAAGTGGTGCAGTCACTCAGACTTCTGACTGGTAGAAAAATTATCAAATGAAATTTGAAAGCTTTTTCCTTTGTCAATAACTTTATGAATTTTGCATTGTTACATGACTTAAATCTTTTGCCAAAACTAGCTCCATAGTTGTAATAGGAAGACTATTTCCAAGTAAATCTTTGAGTTCTGTTTTAAACTTTTTGTGCTAATTAAAAGTATTTGATGTGCAGGTCCAGAGTACTTCATGGATGCCTCATCCGCCATATGTTATGCAACCAACAGTAAGTGGATACTTGCTTATATCCAGCTAAAAGCATTTTACACTGCAGCCTCACTCTGCTTGTCAGCCACATTAAAGTCTTGGGTCATGTAAGAGCAGCCAGCTGCTCCCTTTGGCAAGAGCCCTCCACTGTAAAGATTCCACTTCTTTAAGGAGCCCCATTTGATTTGGTGAAAAGGGGAGGATGGCTGATATGTTATCTAATTGCATTGATTATAAGAGAATAACAAGCTCTAAAGTGTTGCTTCTGAAGCTTTGCTTCAGGAACTGCAAGATAACTGCATTCCTGAAAGCTTTGAATTGCCAGGATCGACACATGTTACCCCTCCCTTATATGCTTATCCGTCAAAAAAGTCCTTTGTAGTTGTATATACTTTAAAGGATCCTCAATGCCTCATTTATGCATTTCAAGTACTGGAAAAGGGTAAAGCACAGCTGTCTTACAGAGTCTCTGCCAAATTTGTATCTGCTTTATGATCTGACCAGTCAACTCTTTTTTTTTTTTTTTTTTTTTACTGAGTAAATTGACGTCTTTTATCAATTTATAACTAATACTTAAGGCTGCATTATATTTCTACCAACATTCATTAGAAGCAGTGCAGGTGATTTTTTGTTTACCTCACAGAGACTTTTGATGCACTATGCCTAAGTAGAAGTGATGTACTGGAAGGAAGCAACATACCGGATTCCACTATGTACAGATTGCTTTAGTTTCATTTCCTGCCTTTGATCAGTTTCTCAGGTGTGGATCCATGTAACAGTGTCATTAATCCAAATTCAAACGTGTGCTCCACATAAGCATCAATGCATCGATTTATATAAGGAGTCTAAATTTATAGTGAAGGTGTATAGTTTAGGATTGTTTGTTATTCACATTTGTGTTCAAATATTTTGACTTCATAATAGAGTAACCTCCGGTAGGACTTAACTATATAACAACATGGATATAATTACTCTACATACCTGTTTAGTAGCATAGGACTCTTACTGCAATTTGAAGCCCCCTTCCACATCCCTCAGCTGTTTGGAGACAAGTTCTTCAGTTTTCTCTCACCAGGCAATGGCCATAGTGTGGGACTGACTGACTCCTGCAAACCCAATTCCTGCTGCTTTGGTGCTGCACCTCTCCAATTGTGGTGGAAATTTCCGCCTCCATGGAGTAAAGCTACTGCTGTGTTCCTTGTAGGGAGATGAGCTGTATCAAGCAAACTAACCATTAAAATCAGTCCTGTATTGTAATATTGGGATTTAATTGCAGACCACAAGAGATCTTAGATGTGTGTATATGATGAGTTATCAGACTTGTGGAAGCCAAAGGATCTCTGATCCTTGCAGAAAGACTCCCTTCCTAAAAGGAAAACCTAAGCACTTTACCAGTCCCAGCTTTGTGTGTGTGTGTGTGTTTGAGTTTTATTTGACAATGTTCAGCAAAGCATTTTTCTGCAGTACCAGAAGAGGTATTTTGATGTGGTAATTGGATGTATTTACCCCTTGGTAAATGGCTGTGAAGAGAAAAACAACTTTTATAGTAAGTGGCACCCTGAATATGCTAAGTTAAATTTGTTTTCGTTGCCAGCCAGTGAGTTGTGTCAATGAAAGGATGTGTGCTTGTAGGTGAAAAGGCAGAGGGACAGTGGATAAGTGGTATAACATTTCAGTTCCAGTGTCATTGCCATTGTGGATTACCTCCATGTGTTGTCTATAGCAATCCCAATCTCTTCACTGAAAGATTTTTCCCATGTGTTTCCCAAGATTATGTTCTTAAGTAAATGGACATATGAGGCATTTAGTGCAGAAGAAGTATAAAAGCAAAAAGGCAGTACTACCATTCCCCAGGTTTCATTCAGAGATGAATTCTTTATTAGAAATGTCGGTAAAGTTGTCAGAGAATTACTACACAGAGGACCCAAGAGACGTCAGAATTAATGGCCTGTTTGGAAAGAAAATAAAGAATCTGTGTCCATTGTAAGTTTGCTGTAGTTTCATGCCGAACTATAGACTCTATTCCAGGCATCTCAATAGCTTAAAAAAAAATGAAGTAAAGATTACAATAAAGTTGGCAGAATTTAAGACATGAGTTTTGGTAACCCTGTGAGCTGATCTAACTAGGAACTTTCTAATTTGTTTAGCTTTTTGTTTCTTCTTGTAACGTAGTTTGCTGTGTTATTATCTAAATTGCCATCGCTTTACTTCATCTTTTATGAAATGATTGATTGTGGCACGTGATGTCCCACTGGAAACCAGTGCAGATAAATATTACATTTCCCTCGTCCCAGGAAGGAGAACATTTTGTTAAGCCTCTATTATTCTTTGTGAGTAGAGATGAACTCATACAGAAAGCACAGTTTGAAATGCTCAGATGCTGGTGGTTAATTCTTTGTTTTGATTATAAGTATCCACTAAATCATATTGCTGAATTATTAGCTTTTCATTTCCGACAGAAAGTCCTACTTGATACTTATGTCTAATTTAACACCGCATAGTGTCCCCCATGACAGAAAGATAGGCAGGAGCGTGCTGTAGAGGAGACAAGAGTTTTTTCATTCTGCATGCTGCATGCAGACAGGACAGTTTTCTCCCAGGCTGGCAAGCTTGGCGACCGGAGGGAAGAGCTGTGCCACACGGCGCTACCGCCCTGTGCCCGCCTGTCTCCGCTCCTTCCCCACCTGCCTGCCCGCTCAGTTAAACACCCTGTGCTTTCTTCAGTGACACCCCCTGCAGTGGGCTGGGCTGCCAGACGTGTTGCTCATTTATTTCCCTTTATATATCGATTTCAGCCACATTTTCCTAATGTGTGCATTCTGTATCCATCTACGCGGTGGATTAGAAATCTCCACTGTAGTAAAACATTGTATCTTCAATTCCTTCTGTACCTTTTTAACTACAACCACATAAACCTCTAAACCTAACAATTAACAATAACCTGTATGTTAACTGGAAAGTGTTTGCATCTATTGCTTTCGATTCCCCAGCCTTGTTGGTTTTCTTACTTTTGTGATCTCCTTAAAAGCAGATAACAATCAAAATGACATTCTATGAGGAAAAAAACAGTCAGAATTTTTTTTCCTAATAGGACAGAGTCAGATGGGCAGTCAGGGTCTCTGCATGTATATGCAGAGCCCTGGAACAGGCTGCCCAGGGAGGTTGTGGAGTCCCCTTCTTTGGAGATTTTCAAGACCCACCTGGATGCAGTCCTGAGTAACATGCTCTAGCTCCAGGCAATCCTGCTTCAGCAGGGGAGTTGGACTAGATGATCTCTATGGTCCCTTCCAACTCTAAAAATTCAGTTAAATTCAGTGAAATATCATAATTCAGTCATGATTTTCCCTGTAACTTTTGACCTTGATATTGTAGGTTGATGCCAATAAGCAACTGCAAATACAATTTTAAAAGAGGTGGGGTTTTTTGTTATCAGTGATTTTTGCTAGCCTTATACTAAAAGCCATGGAAAATTAATATCAAATAGGTTGAGGTAGCACTTCTATTTCAGAATAACTAGTATTTAAAGTATTCTTCTGCTGGCATAGTAGAGTCACACGTGAAAACCTGTCACATCTTTGTGCTTGCACAACCTTCAGGGTTTTGGAAAACAGGATTCCCGAATCATGTGAACATCATGAAAAATTTACTTTGGGGCTCATGTGTGACTCAGGCACTTGGGAAAACTGTACCTTTTTCACCACTTTTTGACCATATTGACTGCGCTGTGTCTGAGTAAGAATGCTTCAGATTTGCCAGTTTTGTTGCTTTGCCACGTGCTCTGGTCCCTGCCACGAGCAGTAATGGAAGACAAGCTCCAGAAGAGTTATGGCAGCGTGGGGTTGAACTCATCCTGGATAACATTTAATGTACTGATGGCGGTCTGGGCTCCGTTTAGTTAACTATAGCTTTCAAAGTACAGTGCTCACTCATCCCTACTTGAAACAAGTCTTGTATTTCATTAGTGCCTCAGGATAAGGGTAGATGGATAGTGATGACAGAATCAAAACATAAATGGGATAAGAGTTATTCTGGGGATTTATAACATTTGCTCTATTAGTATGTTTTTCCTGTAGTCCCCAAAGGCTGTCTGATAGTTCAGGGAAAACTTTGAAAAACATGTTGTTTAAAGTCAATTCACATATAGATAATCTTCATTTTTATTAGCGATGACATTTGTGTAAAACTTTTTTGATTCAAATCTTTACGACAAAAATCTATGTATTCTTCTGCTGTAAAGGCAATTTTTTTTAGTCAACCAACAGAAATACTCTTCCTTAATATTGTATATGTACACTGGTTTTACACTTACCCTCCTTTAGTTGCAAGTAAAACTGTGTGACCATAAGTAATCACCGTGTATGCACAGATAGATGTTCTTGTCAGTCTGGAATAGTTTCTGCATAATAGCTGCAGAAGGAATATGCCAGTGGCAACATGAAGGGTGTAAGCAGAGCAGCATATGGAAAAACCTACTATTGATAGTGATAAAGTGAGTTGGGAGAACTTCTCTTCTGAACGGTTCTCAAGCCCTTACAGCCCTTTTAGAAAGGTCAACGTCTTAACAAATGCCCTTATTATTTTTTTCTGTCTTCCTTCCTCTGGCCCATGGCTGAATGTAATCTGTCCGTCTTTAAAAGCAACAACAAAAACGTTTCTCATTTCATAAGCAGTGTAAAACCCCTACTTTGGTGAGAAGCGGGGCTGAGTAAGGACTCCAGATTCTTGCCTTTTGATTGTTGTGCATGAATGTAGCATAAAAAGTACAAACTGTCCAACTGAAATATATCAGTTTTCATTTTCTCACTAGCGACTCTGTTGTTTTGGATAATACCCAAAATACCACAGCAGTTTCAGTGTTTTGATTCCTACGCTCTCGAACAAAGAAGTTCCTTGTGCTGTGCTCAGTGTCCCTCTCCCGAGCCGGCTTTCTCCGACTCCTGGTTGTTGCTTTACCTTTTTAGCAAATAGAACCAGGAGTCCATCTTGCGTTTGCCTGGTTGAGTGTAAGGGAACAAAGTG